GGGCAGGGGGTGGGGGGGGAGGGGGGGGGGGGGGGAGAAATTAAAAGTTGAAGAGTCATAAAGTAATAGTGTAAAGTTTAAGGGGTCATTAATGTATTTGGCCTAAATTTGGGTGAGAATTAGACTTTTAGATCAAATTACAGGTATGAAGTGTGATTTTCAAATCTTTTGGGTGCATACACGTAAATATATAAATGCTTCCTTATTTTACATTACAAATTACAAAAAAAAAAAAAAAAACATTACAAATTACAGTAAACTCTCTAAAGCTTCAACCAAATTGCCGGCAACTGTTGGAATTTTCTCCGGGAAGCAAAACGGTAAGCTGTTTTCAAATTTTTTGTTTTGCATTATAGACAAATTAATCTTGATGGGTTTCAAATTCTTGGAGAAATTTCTTGTTTTAACATCAGCATTGACTACTGCCTACAAACTGTTTGATGATATGCCTAACCCAATTGCCTCCTTCAATTATTAAATACTTAGTGTTTGATTCAATAAAATGGACCATTATAAATTGTGGGTATGTTGCATTTTCTTTTTTTCATCCCTTGGAAATGATTGAATTACTCTTAATGTTTTGCTCAATTTTGTTTTGGACCAAAATAAACTATTGAGTATGATGCATTCTGTTTCATTCTTCGGAAGTACTTAAATTACTATAATTTTTCTGCTCAATATTGAGCTACATTGTTTCCATAAGCTTACTCTGTTTCAGATGAATGTGAATCTCCATTCGTATAATGCAACTAATGGCAATAAAGTAAGAAATCATTCTAAAATTTGTCTTTTAATGAAGATGCTATGGATGAAATCATGTAGTAAGTTGTTCCACCACCTGGCACATTTTGCAAGGGAATAAATTTGTTCTTTCTATCATCAACAAACAACAAAAACATACCCATTGTAATCTCACAAGTGGGGTCCGTGGAAGGTAGGATGTACGTAGACCTTACACCCTACCTTTATGGGGTAGAGGGGTTGTTTCTGATAGACCCTCGGTTCAAAAGAACAGTTTTTGAAGCAGGATTTCAAAAAAATATAACGCTCTTTCTATCATCCAATAGATAAATAAATACAAAGAAGGTTTGAATGCAGTGCATTAGTTTATGTTGGTCCGGTTCCAGTTTATTTGGTTATTCCTTCTTGAAGGATTAAATCTGAAAAAATTTTGTTCAAAAAAATTAAAGTGTGTGCAAAATAATAAAAGATAACTTGAGAGAGATTTTAAATTTTTTTTGGTCATTGTTGTAAAAAATGGAATAGCTATGTGTTCAAAGACATTCTAGTTGGTTTTGAAATTAGATTCTGGAATTATCAGTTCATTTGAGGGTAGTAAGGTGGGGAAACTAAAAGTTTTACAACTTGTGGTTAGATTTTCAAATCGGCTAGTAGGTTTGGCCAAACTACTCTTAGATTTTACTGTATGGATTGTGGTATGCAATATGAAAAAGACAAGCTGTTTATAGTGTTTAAGTTATCCCTTGCTGTGCTAACCTATTTCTTTTAGTACAATTGGTCATGATTATAACAAGAAAGTCTCGATTTTGTTCATTTGGAATTGTTTTTCCTCAGCGATGTAATTCATTGAGGTCTGTAATACTTTTTAGTTTGTCTTATTTATTTGATTGATCTGCTCATTAACTGTTTTCTTGTTTCTGTTTATATTCCTTAACTAGACTTAGGGAAATAATTAGACTAGTCAAGGAATGGTGTTTTACACGTAACTCGAGGATGCCAACACCTTCTCCTTGGGTTAAATTAACCTCCTGAATTTACAATCTCAAGTTAGTAGACTTTAGGGGTCATTTTAAGGGGTTGTCTTTCTCTTTTCCTTTATTTATAATTACTCATTTAAACAAAAAGTAAAATGAATTAGGTGACCAGGCGGCTCCAAAATAATTAGGATGGTAGAACCCTTAGGAGTTACCATATTGTCGCGCATATTTAACCTTTTCTTTATTCTTAAACTCAAGGTGTGCCACAGAGAAATGAAAGGAGGGTTGATATGGGCTACAGCAGAGGACTTGGCAAAGAATAGAGGAAGAGTTCTGTCTTTGTATAGGCAACTCTTGAGGAGCCTTAATTCACCTGCTTTGCCATTTAGCTTAGCAGTTAGACTTCAAAAGAAAGCTGAGGTTCGTGCCATGTTCATGTTGGGTTCTGAGGAGCAATCTCTTCATAACATTCAAGATCTTATTGATGCTGCTGAATACTCCCTTTCCATTTTAAGAAAAGGCGAAATTCCATAGCACTTTCAAGTTTATCAATAAGCCCGGACAATTTTCTTGTGAGTGCAAATGTTGTTGAAGGATCTTTTGCATGTTCTTACATTCCTTTATGCATATATAAAGCATACTGTTTCATTCAGCTGAACTTGAAGTGTGTTAGTTTTTCTTTCCTGCACAATGGTTCTTTCTAAAGTACGAGTATCGTCAAATGAGAATAAATAAAACAGCATTCTGATGAAGAGAACAAGATAAATAACTCATAGAATTCTAAGGTAAATAATTAAAGGACAGAACAAGAATTTCTACTTGATAGCATGTATATGCTGTCAGCTGCTTTGCACGTGAGCTTTTGTGAGCTGTAAAGATGGATCAGCTACACAAAAAATTTGTTTGGCGCTTTCTTGATCTAGTAGTCTATTTTGTTCACACTTGGAGGTTGCTATAAGCTTGTTGCCATTGTTTTGTTCAGGCAAGCTGTTATAGTCTATGTTGCTCGGACTCTTCAAAAAAGTCAATGGGTGCATGTCAGATTCTCCAAAAGTAGTGTATTTTTGGAGAATCCGACACGGGTGCGGCATCGAAAGTGAAGAGTCCGCGCAACTTAGGTTATAGTGGGAGGCTTGGAGCTACTTCTTTTTGAAACTAGGGGTGGTCCGGTGGTAATCACATAAGCTGTCAATTTTGAAAGTTCCTACATTTTTCTCACGGGGTTTGCATCAGTTGAACTTTAAAGTATATGATGAACAAAATTTAGCATATTTGGAGAACATTGATCAACTACTTTGTAGGTAACTAGCTACACTTGAAATTCCAATTACAGATGGGATCCCAAGCTTATAAACTCATTGCAAACTTTATGCATGTGAATTAACTTCAGCTTCTGCATTTCTCATAGTTTTCTGTTTTTGGCAACTTTACTGTAATTATCTTCCTATTTCTTCATAAGTAATAACACTTTCCTTGTGTACAACTCTTATAAAACGGTAATAACATTTCTTTAGGGGTACATGTACATACATGATGATTTATTTTCATACGAGTTGCAAACTGTTCTAAATACTGACATATTCGAACAGGTTTGAAGCATCCCGTGTTTGATTCTAGTACTAGCAACTTCAAGTCTTTGATGAAGATTTCTCTTGTGCAACATGAGTCTCTAATCATCTCCAAAGAGGCTTCAGCTTCCTGTAAATTATTAGTCGTATAGTATATGGTTTTGGAGTAGACGATCTATGACATTATTTTGCCAGAGACTATTCACACGAGGATGTCAGTGTGCTTCTGAATGACATACACTTTTTGTCCCCTAAATACAAGCTGAATTACAGAGACGGAGAACGACATTTCCTTGCTCCTAGAGATGCTTAGATATGATAAAACAAAAGGTTGAGACCTGAGAATTATTAGTACTTGTAGTGATTTCTTCTGCTCTGTCCTGTCAAAGTGATACAGATGTGTTTTATGTGCATCCCAAAGTTAGAGTACTTTTGCTTTGGTTGATACTTGGCTCAACTGTTTCCTGTTGTTAAAATGGTTTATTTTTCGTATTAGATGCTATGGTTTTTAAAAATCTGGAAAATGCCTGTTTTTAAGCTTGGAAACTTATTTTAGAAAATTGGGTTAAATTCATACTGATGGTTATTAGGACATCACCCCAAAACTATCCTATCGCGCACAACTCATAAATAAAGTAGAAATAGCGCTCACTAACCACTCGGGTTTTCGAAAGATAGTCATTGCCCTTTAAAATTTCACAAGTCATGTTATTTAGCATTTTCTTTGTTTTCAAAACTTTATGACATTTGCATTTTTGGTTAGCCTTTTTTTTTTTTGGAAACTCCAGGATAACCTTTCGGGTGAGCAGTGGTAAATTCTCTCCTATTCATGGGGACTGCACTAGACAAATTCTATGTGTCATGCTAACTTAAAAGACCCTATGACAAATTCTATGAGATAGACTAGACTCAGAAGACATTGATAGAGGATATTAGCGGATTTGGAAAATGGTTATTTGTGGATAAGACAATTTTGGTTGGACCAAAGTATTTATGCCCAATCAGCACGCTCTTCCATTGATCATGTAAAAATCTGTTCGATAATTCTTCCCGCCAAAGTCCGTCGTGATTCATCTAAGTCCCAAATTACAGTGAAGAGTTTCGATTTATGGAGCTCAACATCCATATTATTTTTTCTATGTGTTTCTGAATAAGAAATCAAATGTTCTAACGACCATGGCCTTAGTTTTTGGTTGCACTGTAAATTCTCAAGACCCTTCTGTCTTTCACAAAATCCAGACCAGTAACTCAACCAAACAATTCAATTTCAATACTTTAATCACCAAAACTAGTTCCCAACAGTCCCTTTACGCCAAAATCATATCTTTATGTTCTTCTTCAATACCCTCTAAGGATATGAGCTATATCCACTCTCTTTTCACTCAAATGCATGACCCAGATATCGATGTTTATAATTCTTTAATCAAATGTGTTTTAAGTTCTAAATGTAAGGAAAATGCCTTACTTGCTTTGTTAATGTATGTTGAAATGATGTGTAAAGGGTTAGATTTGGATAAATACACGTACCCTCTTGTTATAAAGGCGTGTGTAGGGTTACGTGAGCTAAGATATGGCAGATTGGTTCATGCCCATGTGATAAAAAATGGGTTTGTGTTGGATTTGTATGTAGTGAACAATTTGATGCGTTTGTATGGTGTTTGTGGGTGTGTTGGGAGTGTAAGGAAGGTGTTTGATAGAAGTTCTGTGAGAGACTTGGTATCTTGGACTATTTTGATTCAGGGGTATGTGGACAATGGTTATTGGAAGGAAGGAGTGGATTTGTTTTTTGAGATGGTAGATGACAGGTTAAGGGCTGACGAGAGGATGATGGTTGTTGTGATATCTGCTTGTGCAAAATTAGGGGATTTGAGATTGGGACAGAAGTTGCACAAGTATGTGCAGAGTCGTAAGTTGAGTTTCGATGTGTTTCTTGGGAATGCATTGGTCGATATGTACTTAAAATGTGGTGAACGCGATGTTGCTCTTAATGTTTTCAGAGAGATGCCGATGAGAAATGTGATCTCTTGGAATACAGTAATATCTGGATTGGCTCAAAGAAAGGAGTTTAAACAGGCCTTGAGTGTGTTTAATGAAATGCAGGATCAAGGAGTAAAGCCTGATGAGAATACTTTAGTTGGTGTTCTAAACTGTTGTAGCAATTTAGGGGCGCTAGAAGTTGGGAAATGGGTGCACACATATATAGATAGAAATCGGATACAAGTAGCTGGGTTTGTGGGCAATGCTCTTGTAGATATGTATGCAAAGTGTGGAAGCATGGACGATGCCCTTAGAGTTTTTGGAAGTATGACTACTAAAGATGTTTATTCATACACATCCGTTATAGTTGGTTCGGCCACACATGGAAAGGCACGGATGGCACTTAAGTTTTTCTATGAGATGCTTGATATTGGTATACAACCAAATGAAGTCACATTTGTAGGTGTTCTCACAGCTTGCAGTCATGGAGGACTGGTGGAAGAGGGTCACAAGTTCTTTACAGATATGTGGAGAGTGCACAAGTTAAAACCTCGAATAGAGCATTATGGCTGTATGGTTGATCTGTTGGGTCGTGCAGGTTTGATAGATGAAGCAATGGAGTTTGTGAAACACATGTCAATTGAACCTGATGCTTCTATTTGGGGATCGATATTAGCAGCATGTAGGATCCAAGGAAAAGTTGATCTCGCTGAGCATGTGACTGAGATACTTGTCAATATGGAGTCTGAAAAAGATGGTACATACATACTGATGTCAAACACATATGCTTCAGTCAGTAAATGGAAAGATGCTTTAGAAGTAAGAAAAGCAATGAAGAGACAGAAAATAAAGAAAGTCCCTGGATGTAGCTCCATTGAACTTGATGGTGTTGTTTCCGAATTTAGGAGATGCGACAAAGCCCATCCACGAAGTAAAGACATATATGTGATGGTTGAGCAATTGACATTTCATCTAATTGGTACAGAGGCCTCATCAGACGGAAGTGAGTCTTGCATAGTTTGAATGGTGCAAAGAAACTGCAATTATTACCTGAGTTGAATGGTTAGTTAGATAGGACACTTGTGCAACCACTGCTCTTCTATACATTGGTACTCTGTTTTACTCAGCTTGCCTCTTTTTCCTGAACGAAGCCCACATAAATGCTCTGTGCAATGAAATAGGTAGCTTTATCTGAAAATGAAATTTTGTCAAGTTGATCTCAGGCTCCAATTCTTGACTTATATTGCACGAATTATTTAGAAGCTTTGCCACTTAAAAAAGCTTTAGGACAATTCCTTCGTACATTTTGTAACAAAAATTTTAGAATAATAAAGTATTTACACATAGCTCATGAGTCGTGGGCAATTCGTTACAAGAAACTTTTGTGACATCATCTGTGATTATTGTTGGTATACTTGCACTTTGCAGTTTGCACATCAAACATTACATGTATAAGTAAATACAGCTTGCCATTAGATTTATCATTAACTAATTGCTTTCTACCTTCTAAGCATTATGATTTGAAGTCCAGAACTGCCAGTTAAAAGGGTTGAGAGATTTTGCTTAGCCCTCAAGGAGATGATGACCAAGTAGTCGAAGAACTGGAGTTACAACGCGGGGAACAAAAGTTCAAGCCTCAGCAAAGGTAACACACACCAAGTGATTTCTTCCTAGTTACCTTATCTGCAAAGGACTACATCTTAGTTTATGACTAAATCTCACATAAGTTATTAGTAATGCTATGCTGAATTCGATGGATATATTAATCTCACGAAAAATTCGATGAACATGATACTCATAACTGCAAACTTAGCCTCAAATGGCTTGAGAGAGGTTGTGTTGGCTGCGTTCACACAAAGATTTCTTATAAAACAAAGACAAGAATATTGTACTCAATCCTGAGATGTTTGAGTTGTGTTGGACCTAAATTCTTGTGAAACAATAGAATTTAATCAATCCAATTTATGTCGTTAAGGTGGAGAACTGAACTAGAATTCTCTTTCTTCATCGTCAATCGAAAAGACAATAATTGACGTACAAGGGAAACATGCAGTTAGCAGCAGAGTTCTTAGGTGGTAGAGCACTGTGACGTATTGGGAAGCATCTCAGTTAGCTTCTTGAAACAACAGAAAATATATCTTCTAATTTCCGTTAGCTACGGATTCGGTAAAACTTAGTATTATGTTTTAATTTGTTTGCCTTACTTTCTTTTGAGTCCGTTTCAAAAAAAGAATGATTCTTTCCCTTTTTAGCAACTCTTTAGTTTCCAACTTTTCACATGACATGTTTAATACCACAAGACTAAATATATTTTGATGCATTTGACATATGACTACAAGATTCAAAAGTCTTTTTTATTTCATTGAAATCTGTGTCAAAGTCAAAATATGACAAACAAATTTAAACAGAGGAAGTACTAATTAATTAAGTTAGAGAGGACTCCTCAAACATTACTTGTAATTTAAGTAGGAAAAGAGTTTAATTTTCTTCTACATTAAGTGGATTAATTTCTTTCCTTGTCTAATTCTAAATTCTAAAATATAAAAGTTTCGAACCAACTCAATTGAGGGGTGTGTCAAATTCTTATTTTTCACCCATTATAAAAAAAAAAGGAATAATTTCTCCTGGCCTATAGAAAAAGAATCGGAATTTGCACGTGAGGATATGTTGAGACATAATATGATTACATAATTAAAAGTTTGCTTTTGCGCGTTAATAGCTCTTTCAAATCCCTCCGCAATCCATTAAAAGAATCAGACTCACACGTGAGATCGTAATAAAGACAAGTAAATTTGCAAATGCTTTTTCTATATGATTTTGTAGATCAACAACTTAACTAGTGTAGGTGACTAGGTGAGCCATTAACCTGCAACAATAGATAATTAGTACTAATGATTATGCAGTGTAACAAAAGAGTTGTGAACTTGTGATTTCTTAACTGGACGTATAAATTAGTGACAACTACTAAGTCATACTTTCGGAATTACCTAATTAGAAAAAGAATTACTGATAATTTCGTCCATCAAAACAACAACATATCCAATGTAATTCTACAAGTGAAGTTTATGGGGGACAAGTTTTACGCAGACCTTACTCCTACCTTTATGGAGGGTAGAGAGGATTTTTTCGATAATTTGATTCCAATTTTATAAAAATAAATAAAAAATGAGTATGTATAATTAATATTAGTGAGTAACTGCATGATCCAAGTTGGGAGTCACAAGAAAAGTGTGATCGACCTTTCAGCATATATTATAGTCAATGATTGAGCATCTACAGCTAACAACATTACTGGAAACACTTTATTTTTGGCTGTTCCCTATTGTGAAGCTATTGTTGTTACAATATGGGTAACAAAATCAAATAGGAGTACTAATCAATTATTCTATTGCTTATTAATAAAAAAGATATATAGTATATTTCTAATTTATATTAATCTTTTTCCATCAAGCAAATGTAATTTAAATTTGCGCCAGAAAGTCTTATAATATAATTTCCATCTTTCAATATGATGTTATATACGCAGCAAAAAGCTGAATGAAAATTAGGCGTACATAACTAATATTGTTATTACATTTTAGGTCAAAGGTTCAAATTAATTTAGATAAGCCTAAAAATTATTTACATCAACTTTCTATGATTTCACATTAAACGGCGATAAACACTGGTGATGCTATCACTTGCCAATTAAGAGTTAGTAACATTTTTATATTTTTGAAGTAAAATATAATCATAAATTCACAGTATTATGTAAATAAATTAATTGGACTTAGAATTCAAGTGCACTGATAAGTAAGAATGAAAAACGAGTGGATCGAGTCATATATAAACGGATCAAAAATAAATTAGGTGAAAATATATATGATCGATTTTATACTTGATATAAATAAAAAATAAAAAGAAGTAACTAAGGGATTCATATTATCCATTACTTCTTAAATAAGATATGAACTTTTTTTCTTCAATAAAAAATAAGATATTTTATAAGATGTTAGTATTTTCTTTATTTCATTTTATTTGATCTTTAATTATATCAAAAAATAGATATTTTAATTATTTTTTTGTTCATTTTAACTAATTAAGAGATTTTTTTCCCCCTATACTATCCTTAGTATTAAATAACTAAATAAACTATCAGTAATCAAATTTAGAATTTTAAAATATCACTAATAAAGTTAGTTTAGTAAAAATACACTTTTAAATTAAAACTTTCTTAAAAAATGTGTAGGGTCAACTTAAATCAAGTAATATACAACGGAGGAAGTACTTCTTATAATTAAATTTGTCTAATAGAATGGAATAAATTAATTTACTCTAAATATAAAAGATGTAGCTAATTAACTAAATCCGAATAGAATTGATTGTTACTTACTAATAATAAATTTTATTAAATTTATTATTAAAAACATAGATTATATTTATATTCCACTCACTAAAAATCTTGATTCCAACTAAGTACATACACAATTGGTTACATAAATAATGCTAGTAGTACTTTCTGCTAGGAAGTATGACATTGACTATTGTCGTTATCATGTACCTTGTACATTACACTACTTTCTCCGTTAATTTTTAATTGTCATATTATATTTTTAAAATTAAATTAAATTATATTAATTTGATATTTTAAACAAAAAAAAAAAAAGATATTCAAAAACTATACGAAAAATACTATAAATTACAATTTTTTTCATATCAATATGATTGAAAAAATACATCGTAAAATGTTAATCAAATTTTTTATCATTTAACTCTAAAAAAAGAAAACAATGACCATTAAAAGTGAACGGAAAAAGTACCTTGTTATTAGGTAGTAGTAATTAAATAGTTTAATTTTTTGGCCATGAAAAATCAAACTAGCATTCTATATATAGTTCAATTTTTTTTCTTTTTAAACCAAAAAAATTTATAGTCGCAATATTTTAGGTGTGCATCATGGGTTAATTCACTCTTATACAATAACTTACAAATCATACAAAAATTTGATGTGATGAACTCGATCGAGAAGACGGTTGGCAGGGGAAATCAATCTCTAACCAACTCAGGATAGTTTTTTCTTTGTGGCTTCCTTTTTGATTAGTTATTTTGCTTTCAAATAGAAACACTTGATAATATAGACGAAAAAGGGTAAAAAATTGTCCTTCATTTATAGTTTGGCTCAATAATGCCTTGTCGTTAATATATTGGTCCAAAAATGTTCTTGTCGTTGATAGTTTGGTCCAGAAATGCCTCAATAATTACTAAACACAGGTCAAAATATTGACGTCAACATATATAGGTATTGACCTATTAAGTAACAATAAGAGCATTTTTGAATCAAAATATTGACGACGAGTATTTTTTAGACCAAATCATAACGAAGAATATTTTTTATTCATTCACACAATTGAAAGATATTTTTGACCCTTTTTTCATAAATAAATTACTGTTTTATCAAAGTTTGATTTCAAAATGCACAAGGGATATAAATTGAAGTAAAAATGTTTGGAAGATAGTATACATATTCACGCAAATGGTGATATTTGTGGAGATATTGTTAGTTGAGAGTAACAATTTGTTTATCATTCTAATGACATGTGGTAAAGGGACCCACTCTTCAGTAATTTCCTCCATGCAAACTGCCCACTCCAACTAATTTAAACAGTCATATTTATGCCTACTACTTGTGTATAATGATGTTGTTTGTTTGAATATATTTTTTTGATTATTTAACAAATTATCGTTCTACACTTATAAGAGTTTAAATTTTATTTGATTGGTATAGATTAAAATAATGTAAGAAGTATAACATGAAAAATTGATTAGTGTAGTAAAATAATGTTATATAGGATTGTTGTTATAAAAAAATTATAATAATGTTACGGAGGGAAAAGAGATTTTGAATTCAGGTTTTGACTATAAAATTATTTTTGCTAGAGAGTGTGTTGTCTTTGGTGTGAGTTTTTCCTAGACTTAACGTAAATTTAAATTTAGTTGGGATGGATATCAGAAACCAAGGTGGACATAGTATAGTATTGAAAATTTTTGTTCGATAATTGGGGTTTGAAAAAGTTCGTCATACCATACTAATTAGGTATAATTTGGTTGGTACGATAAATTGATAATTATAATTTGTTTAACTTCGATTTTCATATACTAATATGATACTTAATAGAGAATTATGACTTCAAATTTTCAATAAATATCTTAATTATACCATACTTACATCTTACACATGTAAAAATAATCAAAAGAATATACAAGTAAATATCCTTCGTTAATCAATACACGGAAAAAATATTTCATCCAAAATTGAATAGTTAAAGTTTCAATATCTAAAATCTATTACTTCTGTACTAATACTATTTTATATATTTTTAGTATTATAATAATATAGATGAGTTGTATACATAACATATTTTTCTTACGAATATCAAATACCGTTACGGATGGCAATGGAGTGGGACTGGGCAAGTTGAGCTAAACCAGTAAAATT